ACCTAACCACGTGTCCGTCTGGAAAACGGGTCACGGGTCGAAACATTACAAAAATATAAGAGCAATCAAATCGAATGAACACGACTAGAACGAAATAAAGCAGGTGAAGATGAAAGAGGGCGACCAGAGTGAGACTGACAAGAGGAACGCAGACGGGGACAACAGGATCTGGTGACGAAGTTCAGTCGAGTCTTTCCGTCGTCGCCGCTGAGCAGCTCTGACTCACGGAGACGCTGAGGGACCCCGGTTGGGTCTCCCCGGTTGGGCTGAGCCCGTCGCTGCGGCCCTCCACCCGCTGGCTGACGGTCTTCCTCTCTTCCCGTCCTTTTCTAGTGACCAGCCTGATGGCAGTCTGCCCGTCTGTCACACTGGGGTGGCCTGCGTGTCGTTCTGATGCTGGACGCTCTGCCGCTGCTATCTCCAAAGCCAGCAGGGTGGCCACAGTGACCAGGCTTCCGCGGAGCTTCCAGACCAAGAACACTCGAAGGAAGGAGCCGCTGAAAACCGTGTGCCTCGCTTTGAAACACTGTCGGCTGCTTCACGGGGCCTGAAGAATGGCAGCCGAGCACTGCCGGACTGAGTGCTGGAGGACGGCCCTCAGGTCCAAGGGCACTCGATGAGACTGATTTCTGGGAGGGGTGCTGACCATGGTGAGGAGTTGGGGAAAGCCCGTGGGAGTGGGTCCTTCTTGGGGATCTTCATTTGCTGATGGGGCAGTACTGGAGGTAAAGGGCAAACAGCTGCGACAATCTTCAGATGTTCAGAAACGGGAATGTTGTAGTATTAAATTAAAAGGTGGCGCGGAGGAGTGGGGTGCCAGCCCCACCCGCTGCTCCTCCTTATTTATTGCTAGCCACGCATCATATTACTTTAGGGGGATACGTCACAGCATCATGCATCACAGCGAGGGGCAATACAATTCACAACAACCTGCGTCCTACGGGGGGATTGCAACATAGGCAATACAAGCAATAGGAGGGGGATGGCCTAGTCATCTTAGTGTGGTCCCGGGCTTGCCTTTGGGCACTGCTTCAAGGGAACAATAACAGAAAGGAATGGGCCCTATTTGGGGTGAGGCAGACTATCCAGTCTGGCTGCTCTAGATGGCTGATGTTAAGGAGAATAACCTCGGACCTATTTTCGCTGCCTAATGAACAATCATTCTACAGCTAAGTCTGGCATATATTTTGGGGAGACAACTTAAGAGAAATCCTTCTGTTCCCCACAGAACGTGTGAGGTCGAAACCTAGGACAATTGGAAGTCATCAAAGAGGAACTAGAACGCGGTGTCCTAGGCAAGAGTGAGCTGGCATGGACTGGCGCTGGCCATTCTGAATCAGATCATCCGGTTTACTATGGCGGGAATGGCACTATCAGAGGAATGGCGTGCGTGGCACTCGTTGTCAGAAAGGACACTGCCAAATTCACCATGAAGAACATGGAATGCTTTCTGTGACTGAAGGATCTTGATCTGCCCTCAAGGAAACCCAATCCATACAAATATTATTCAAACGTAGGCATCAACCACAAAAGCTAGTGATGAAGAAATTGAATTCTACCAACGACTTGTCTAAAATCGACCAAGCATGCAATCAAGAGGCATTGATAATTACTGCTGATTGGAATGCAAACGTTGGAAATAGTAGTAGAAGGGACAGTCATTGGAAAACATGGTCTTGGTGATAGAAATGAAGCTGCAGACGGCATGCTAGAATTTTGCAAAACCAACCACTTGTCCATAGCACATACCTTTTTTCAGCAACACAAAAGGGAGTGTCTATATGGATTTTCCCTGCATGGGATACACAAAAGTCAAATGGGCCGCATCTGTGGAAGACTCTGGGAAAGCCCAGACCGGAGGCTGACTGCGGAACAGACCATCAGGTGCTCACATGTGATGTCGGGGTAAAGGCGAAGAAACCCAAATCAAACCCACAAGAGCCAAAGTATGGCCTAACGTAACCCCCTGCATCTGGGAACATCTCTGGAACAAAGCTGACACGCGGGACACTCGCGCCAGAAGCCCTGGCGAGCTGGGAAGGAACGTCAAGACCCTCATTCCTGAAGAAGGCGGGAGAGGAAAGGTCAAAGTGGGCGGCAGGAGAGACTGAAACTTGCTCTCCGTCAGAGCAGCTGAAGCAAACGGAAGAAAGGATGAAGTCCAAGAGCTCGATAGAGTTCAAGAAAAAAAGACAAATGCTGTGAAATGTGCAGACCTGGAATCAGAAAAGCAAAGGGGACCATGCTCAGCGTATCTGAGCCTGAAGGAACTCTAGAAAAAACTAAGCCTCGAGCCACAATTGTGAAAGCTTCTACGGGGAGAATATTGAACGACGCAGGAAGTATCACGAGAAGACGGAATGCAGTCACTGTACCAGAAAGAACTCGCCGACAATCCATGAGCAAGAACCAATGGGACTGGAGAGAGACGTTCAAGAGGCACTGAATGCGTTAGCCAAAAACAGTGCTGCTGTCAGAATTGATGGGAGACCAAATGAAATGTTTCAGCAAGCTGAAGAACATTTGTGCCAAGAGATTTGGAAGACAGATACTTGACCAACTGACCAGAAGAGATCCATATTTGTGTTCATTCTAAAGATGCCCCAACAGAATGCTCAACTACACACCAATGATCATCGATAAAACATGCAAGTAAAATTGTGCTGAGGATCAATCAACCCAGTGATTGCAGCAGTACATTGACAGGGAAGAGACTTAACTTCAGGCTGGAGTCAGAAGAGGACGTGGAACACTGCTGGTATCGCATGGATCTCGGTGGAAAGCAGAGAATACCAGGAAGACGGTTGTTTTATTGACTATGCCAAGGCATTAGACTGTGGACCACAAGGAACAAGGGTGGCCTTGAGAACGGGAATCCCAGAACACTTCAAGCCAGGTTCTGAACCGTGTGGAATGAGGGACTATTCGTGGCGATGCCGGCGGGATCTTGAATGGGAAGGAGCACACCGGAAGCTATCTACTTGTTTCACTGACTGCAGACACTGCTGTGTGGCAGAGCCCTGGGAAGAGTGGGGATTCCAGAATACTTGACTGTGCCCATGAGGAACCTGTCCGTGGATCTAGAGGCAGCTGTGCAGACAGGACAAAGGCATGCTGCAGTTGAACATCAGGAAAGGTGTGCTCCAGGTCATCCTTGTTCAGTCTGCGTGCTGACCACGTCGTCAGAGCAGCTGGGTTTTATGAAGAACGTGCTATCATGATCGGAGGAAGCCTCAGTAACCTGCAACATGCAGACGACCCAACCTTACTCAGTGACACTTGGTAAGGTCAAAAACTGCAGCCTTCCAGATGGATTACAACTCAACGTAAGAAAGACCTACATCCTTACCACCAGACCAATCCTGATGCGGTTCTTGTTCATATCTCACGTTCTCTGATCATTTGCCAGCACGCAGATTAAATATGACACAGAACATAACCTTGAAACACCTTTCCTGATCGCAGTCCACACACGGGTCCCGTTCTATTGAATCACTGCCTCCTGGTCCGTGCACTGCACCATGAAGGCCCTCCACTCCCCACTTTTCTCAGCGTTATCCAGTTCATTATCCACACAGGCGCCAACAAAACATGAGAAAATGTCTTCCTGGTATTCTGCTTTCAGCAAAAATCCACCTGGCCCCGACATGGAGTCGTTTCAGCTTCCGTCAGCTCTTGGTTGGCGTACCAGGGCCACCGGGTTGAGGGAGTCTCGGCAACACTTGCATACGGTGGCAGTGATGCTGGCTTCTGATGTGTGAGTCCTGCTGTCACCTTTGGAATGAGGCTAGGGAGCCTGCTTCCAAATTTCTCGCACAGATGCATCCTTCCAGGGCTTTGGTATTCCGTCAATGACGGATGCCTTGCTGGCCACAAGAGGAACCCTGCTAGCACAGCAGGCCACGCATTGGCTAACCTCAAGGTCTGCAGTTCAAACCCCCTAGTGAATGAGTGAGTGTGTCAGGCCAGGTTGTCTTCAGAAATAAATCCAGTGACACTCACAGACGTGTAAGAAAAGCTTTATGTCAATGTCATATTACATCAAGGCACCCCGCCCACTCGAGTCCGTAAATCTGACGCGAGCCAGGGCCCTCTTCACGCTCAGGGAGCTGCAGGCTGGTGCTACAAAGTTCACAGGTCAGCGGGTACAGAGTCACACGTACCCCAGGTTGGTGGACACGCGGCAGGGCACCAACAGCGCTGTGTCAGGCGGCCCACATGGGCTCCCCTGGAGGCAGGCAGAGTCCCAGCAAACAGAAGCACCCGCCCCCGGAGGCATCGTGGGCCCCATACCCTGATGGGCAGGCTGCACCCGCCCTGCCACCTCCACACAGCCTCAGGGTGGCAAAATCACCCAAACCCCTGGAGTGATTGTCACTAATGCCTCCGGTGCAGCCTGGACTTCTTCCTTCGGTACACTGGTTTGGGATCACATGGTTCTAAGTCAACCAGCAATTTTTGGTACACGGATTCCGCATCCCTCCCACTGTCTTTTAATGGAATAAAATAAAAACAGTAAAATACACTGAGCCACCAAAATGTGCCAACAGGTCACTATGGCTGAGCTCCACACACCGGACATTCTCTTTCTGATGCCAGAGGCAAACGTCCCCCTGCACACACCATGCTGCCCTCTGACCTGCCCCGTGCACCCCCAGAGCTGGGCTGCTGGCTGGGGTCCCCACCTAGAGGGGACAGGCAGTGTGGCCAAGGCCTCAGCTTCCCATCTGCATACTGCATGTCCTCAGGGTCCAGGTGGTAAGGGGGCAGCTGCAGGACAGACAGGAAGCGTGTGGTGGGCCCCAGGCCCCAGGTGGTCTTGGGGGCAGGGGGCACACTCTACGGGCTGTGGGCAGAGAGGAGCACATCTTCATGACATGTCGGCACTGAGGCCACTCAGCAGGAGACGCCCCACCCTGCACAACATCAGGAGTGGCCATATCTGCATGTCTCTTTATTAGGTCCACAATTCCAGAGTGGTGCCCAGCGAGTGCCCCAGGTGGCCTGTGGGCACAAAACAGCCTTCACCAGTGGGCGGCAGCTGACACTAGGGGGCTCAGCTCAGAGCGCTGGGCGCACCTGTGAGGGCTTCATCCTACCTGTCCCAGGAGCGCAGGGCAGAGGGCTCTCTCCTCACCTGCCCTGTAAACACAGAGCTGGGGGACTGTGTCCTGCCCTGCCCTGGGCACTCGGGGCAGGGGCAGAGCTGGCCAGGGCTCCCGGCCCCACGAGAAAGCAGGGAGCACTCAGCACACTCGGTGAGGCTGGTCCCGACAGGTTTATACAGCAGCCCCGCCCCCGGCCTCGCACCCGCTAGCTGCATGCGGCGCTGCCTGCCGTCTCAGGGGGCCCTCACCCCAGACGGCCCGAGGGGGCACAGGTCTGTCCTACAGTGACCGTCCTTGTGGAAGGCGCTTGCTTGCAGACAGCTGCAGCCTCACCAGGGCTAGCTGCCACTGGAGGTGGCCGGCTCTGGGGACTGCAGAAACTCGTAGGGGTCATGGGTCACGTCTGGCTGCTCCCCGACGCTGAGGTGAGATGGGCTGCCTGTGATTGGGGTGCAGGGGAGGGTGCAGTGTCACACACAACAGGCCTGGCCGGGGCCTGGCCGCCTGCCTGCAGCACTGCCCTTGAGCGGTGTGGCCAGGCCCCTGCACGAGGCTGCTCCTACAGGGAGATGCCATTGTGCACAGACAACAGGGGCCCACCGCCCTCCCCGGACAGAGAAAGCCACCGGTTCACAGCACGCCCCTGTATTGAGGGCCAGGAATGCCAGGGGGGCTGGACAGCCTGAGGACTGACGCTCCCATGCCCCCACTGCCCCCTAGTCAAAGCACGCCCTATGTCCACACCACACACTACCACGCACACACATAGCAAGCCCCATGTCCACACTACACACCACCATGCACACACACAATAAGCCCCAAGTCCACACCACACACTACCATGCACACACAGCAAGCCCTAGGTCCACACCATGCACTCTAACGCATACACAGCAAGCCCCAGGTCTACACCACATACATCCACGCACACACACACCAAGCCCCAGGTCTACACACCATGCACTCTCACGCACACACACCAAGCCCCAGGTCCACACCATGCACTCTCACGCACACACACCAAGCCCCAGGTCCACACCATGCACTCTCACGCACACACACCAAGCCCTAGGTCCACACCATGCACTCTCACGCATACACAGCAAGCCCCAGGTCTACTCCACGTACATCCACGCACACACACACCAAGCCCCAGGTCCACACCATGCACTCTCACGCACACACACCAATCCCCAGGTCCACACCATGCACTCTAACGCATACACAGCAAGCCCCAGGTCTACACCACGTACATCCACGCACGCACACACCAAGCCCTAGGTCCACACCATGCACTCCCATGCACACACACAAACCCCAGATCCACACCATGCACTCCCACGCACGCACACACACTGAGCCGCATGTCCACACCACACACTCCCACACCAAGCTCCAGGTCCACACCACTCACGTCCTTGCGCACACAACCTGTCCACACATTACAGACCCACCTGGCTTTTGGGCTCTCAGTCATGAGGTCTCCATATGTCTCTTCCCTCCCCCTCCCACCGCTGGCAGCAACAAGCCCTCCAGTCTCCTGGGGCTCCTGCGTGGAGAAGGAGCCTGGCGCTTGCTCACCCAGTGGGTGTGGGTCCCGATCAGAGGCATTGGACAGGGAGCTGAGGTTGGAGGAAGGCCGGGAGCCGCCGCGCTCCGCCTGCGCCTCGTGCAGGTCCTGAAGCAGCTTGGCCGTCTCGTCCAGGCCCAGGGTGCCATCCTCCCGGTCCAGCTCCTTCTTCACTTTCCCTGCACACGCGACACCGCCGGGGTCAGAGGCCGAGCCGAGCAACGGAGGCTGGGCCAGAAGAGGCACAGTGCCTGGCGGGCCATCCAGAGGCCAGCCGCGCTGTCTGTGAGCACATCCGCTCTTGGGTCACGGCCGCTACGGGGATTCAGAGCTACCTGCACCAAGATCGCCTGACTGAGCAGACGATGCTGATCAGGGACAGCAGCAGGACCACCTGAGCAGTGACCAGGAAGCCATGTGAGCCAGACCATTGGTCACACCAAGCTCAGCGTGTGCACAGGGCCATCATGGGGGCCCGAGACGGCTCGGCCATCTTGTCACGCACAAGGAACCTGAGACCCCTGACACTGGACACAGTGCAGATGTGGTCACACAGCCACCCGGCGCACTGCTCCGTGGTCCCAGTGCACAGCCCAGGGAAGCCTGAGCCTGCCCACTCCCATTCTGCATGTGGGAAGCCCCCTGGCCGGGTGAAGCCAGCACACTGCTGCTGTACGCGCTCCGTCAGTTGTGGGAGCTTGGGTTCCTGCATCCAGAGGTGCAGAATGTGGTCAAGAGGGTAGGGCTGCCTGCAGGGAGCCTCCTGCCAAGGAACAGGGAGCCGTGGTGAGAGAGATCCTGCCGGGGCCGGGGACCTACCCAGGGTGCCCCTATCAGAGGGACCCGGTGGTGCTGGCCCAACAGAGCCCAAGTGGCCCAGGTCCCCCAAGGGCCCGAAAACAAGACCCCCTAGGTTGAGGAGCACTGGCCAGTAAAGTCACCAGTCGTCACACCCCCAGGCAGCAGAGGAGGCTGCCACCAGGAAGCTCCGGTGACCGAGACGTGGGCGGGCAGCATTGGGCAGCATTGAGCGGGCTCACAGGCTCTGAGGGCACAGAACGGGCAGGTGGAGAGGGGTCCAGAGAGCAGGGCAAGATCTGAAACGACTGCCCTCGGGCTGTGCAGGGTGGGAGCTGACGGTCCCACCAACGTGCATGTGGGGCCCAGGAAAATTCCGGGGCACTGCAGGGGTCTGGCCCGCTAGGCCAGCTAGCTGTAAGCCACAGGCCACAGCTAGCGAGACCCAGGAAGCAACGTCCTCCAACGGCTAGAGCCCACGGCACAGAGAAAGCCTGACCCCTTGCCTTTGGATAGCAGCTCCTCCATGCCGAGCCCTGCTCTCCTCTTCCTCCTCGACCCTCCGGCCGGGCTCTTTCCACCCTCCCCTGGCTGGGCTTGCCCCTGGACAAACCACATGCAGGGGAGCTGCTGGCTCAGGAGCAAACCTACGGGTCTCCAAGACCCTCGGTGGGCCGGGAAAAGTGAGAGCAAGCAGCGATCCGAGCCCCGGACACTCAGGGCCCGAGGGTCACCATCTCTGCAGGAAGGGGGGCAGTGGGCAGCAGTGGAGCCAGGCACACGCTCAGGGAGGGCGACGCGGGCCTGGACCTCGGGCAGACACCGCCGCTGTGACTCACCCAGAGAGCTGAGCACGGACATGTCCAGTGAGACGTCCGAGTACGGCTTCACAGACATGAAATCCAGAACGGAGCCACCGCCGTCTCCCAGCGGGTCCCCAACCTGCATGGAGGACGAGGAGGGGGTCAGAGGCCCAATGGTGTGGGCTGCTGATGCTACCCAGTGGGGTCAGCCCGCGGCCCCGCCCACGCCTCGGCCTCGCCACTGGTGGGGCTAAGGGGCGTGCCAATCCACCCAGACTGCCAACGGCAAGCACAGGCTCTTACTACAGGTGGGGGGGAGGGGGGTGGTCAGAGAACTAGGATGGGGGGCAGATATTCTTGTCCTGTGTCATCCCATGCCTGCCACGTGTCACCTCCTGCATCCACTTCTTGGCACTGTGGCCACAGTCCCTGAGCCCAGGAGCTCCCTCCCCTGATCCTGCCGGCCTCATTCCCTGCCCTCAGAACCAGGGTCTTAGGAAGGCCGTGTGCCGTGTGGCAGCCGGCTCTAAGAGTAAACTGCAGAGAGGCCGTTTCCATTGTCCCTCTTGCCACTCTGTGCCATCCTGGCCCTGGTGCCACGCAGCCGCGTCAGCAGGGGTTGGCATGACCAGGAGCTTAGGCTACCCACCCGTGGAGAGTGTACAGGCCACTGGGCTAGGGGTCCTGTTGGTGTACATACCCCGGCCCCCACTCTGCTCTAGACAGAAGCCCCCCTGACCGGGGTGCAGCTAGATAGATGGGCAGGGCTCAGCCCCGTGAGTTTCTGAGCTGGCGGAGCGCATGCGATGCCAGCCTCCTCCACTTCCAGTGGGCCTCTAAAGTGTGGGTCCAAGTGCAGGGGTTGGGGGAGGGGATGCCCTACCAAATTCTGAGTGAATTATCACCCGAGACTGCCCCTGGTCCCTTCCCTCAGGCAGACGCTCTGGGGAATGCTACCTGTACCCATCCATCCATCCATCCATCCCAGGCCACACACTCACCTTCATCTCATCCGGAGGCTTCACAGGGACGATTCTCCTCTGCAACAGAAGGGGCGGGGGGGGACGCCGCAGTGTGTGCAGGGGCTGTGCACGCCTGCACACACACACACCGGCACTGCACACACATGCCCTGTGCGCACACACTGAACACGCGCATGTACCGTGCGCATACTCCACACACACACAGCACACAATCAAGGCGCACCCTCGGCACTGGCCCCCTCAGCTGCACTCAGGGTGGTGACAACCGACCACGGGCCTTGCCTGACACCTCGGCCGTGGGCCCACGTGGCCCTGATGTGCTCAGTGTCTCCAAAGAGAAACAAGTGCTCAAAGCAGAGAGGGCACAGCAGCGCAGGAGCATCAACCAGCTATCCCAAAAAACCGCGCAGCCGCAGGGCACAGCGCCCACCTGCTTCAGCCGGGCCAACATCCGGGAGTGGTCGCCTCCGGTGAGCTGGTCCAGGAGGTCATCCACTAGCTTTTTACTGTAGCTCCCTGCGTCCTTCACGAACTCCTGCAGGCTGGAAGAAGCCATCGAGAGGATGCCCTGCCTGCCTAGCTGTCCCAAAGCCGCTGCCCTCTCAGACGGGTGCGAGGGCCCTGTCTCCCTAAGATTCCCCTGCTAGCCCAAAGGTGTCGGGGAAGCAGGACCGTCTTCCCTTCCCCCCTTCCGACACTCGCATCTCTGTGGGCGGGCCGAGGGCGTGAACCCTGTCACCTCCCTGAGACCACAGGCTGCTGGGAGGGAGCTGCGTCCCCATGCCGTCCGGCCCCCAGCTCTACCTGAGCGCACACTGCACCCCCGTCTCGTCACCGTAGGCGGAATAGAGCAGCTCCGCCTCGTCGGATTTCAGGTCCCCAAACACGGCGCTGCTGTGCATGGAAAGGGTGGAGCTGGCACTGGAGAGGAAGGTGACTGCAGGGGAGGGAGAAGACCCATGTTAGGTGCTGGCTCAGGTGCAGGGTGGAGGCCAGCACTCTCTGGGCCCCCCAGCTGTTCTCACAAGCCTCCTGTGTCTGCCGATTGCACCCAGGGCCGTACAGCAGGCAGCGACGCCCAGGCCTGACCTCAGGAGCGCCCCTGCTCCAGGGCCAGGCGTACCTTTGCTCCTGCGCTCGTCCTTGAAGCTCAGGGTGGTGAAGCTGGGCAGCAGCTTGCTGGACAGAGAGCTCAGGTCCACGGGGAGCAGCTCTTCCTCTGTAACACAGGCACGGCAGTGGCTGGCAGGCAGGCCGGCCGGTGGGGACGGCACTGTGGCCAGGGGCCAGTCGTCTCCCCGACACCCCCATGGTCGGCGTGCCAGGAGACAACTCAGCCTGCCCAACCGGTCAGCAGCCGCTCCTCGTCCCTCCTGAGTAGACCCAGCGGCCTGCGGGCAGCTTCACACCACACCTGCACCTCCCGGCTGTCAGCTGAGCCCCACCACCCCCGACAACAGCAGCCTCTCTCATCCATGGGGGTTAGTGTGTGGGTGCAGCCCAAGTGCAGGGGACGGTGTCTCAGGTGCAAGCACCTGTCTACACCTGTGTGCACCTGCAGTGCGAGGCCAGGTGTAGACAAGTCATCCAAGATGCTAAAAGTGATCCAACGGCCTGGATGCCCCTCCCACGGTAGGATCATCGAATGAGATTTTTCTAGAACTCTCACGGGGCCCAAGGGAGGAGAGGGCTGCTGCATGTGGCTTAGAGCAAGTCCTTCCGGAACGTGAGCACGAGCACGTTCCATGGGCCAAGCCCACTGTCCCGAGAGCCCTACTCCACCTTCCTAGCCAAGGGGACATGCCACCTCAGCTCCCCTGCTCCACGCCCACGAGGCCCCCTGCCCACCCTGGGCGAGGCCCTGAAGCGGCCTCCTGGGGAGTGCGCAGGTGGTGCCCACCTTCAGCATCAGGCTCGGCCGCGTTGACCACGCTGTAGAGCAGGCTGCCGTCCCCGTTCTTCTTGAGGTAGCCCATCTGTGAGGGGGCACCAGTCACACGGGACCCGAGCACCAGTCGGGCACTGGCTCGGACCCCGGCCCAGCGCCTGGGCCCATGTGGACTGGGCCAGATGCAGCCTGAGAGCTGCCTCCCATCCAGGCCCAGCCGGCCCTCTCCGCCTGCAGTGTGGCCACAGCCCTGAGCAAACTTAGAGGGGAGAGCTACGTGGGCGGCCATCAGGGACAGTGGTGGGTGTGTGGGGACAGTGGTGCATATACAGACAGTGGGTGGGAGGGTGTCACGCACAAGTGTGGCCAGGGCCAGGGTTAGGAGGACACCTGCAGAGGACAGTGATGGCAGCCATGCTGGTGGGGCCAGGTGGGTAGAGTGGACGTCTGAGCGGGACTGAGGGGTGTGGGCGACCGGCCCATTAGCTAAGGGTGTGGAGCTACTGGTGCAGGCAGACCACTTCTTCCTATGTCCACAGGGAGGGTCTGGCTCCGTCCTCTGAGGGCCTGGGCAGCAGCCACTGCACCCAAACCCTTATTCCACCAAAGGCCAGGTCTCCTGCAGGTGCAGTCAACCGGACTATAGCCCAGGACGGGTCCCCTCACAGCCCGAGCTGCAGTGCCGTAAGCCCCACGCTTCCTGGTGGCAGCACATTTAACCAGGAGCAGCGGGCACAAACAGATATTGGCACGTGTGATTGTGCCCAACGCCCAGGGACTGCCCCCACCGAAGACCCAAAGAGGCTGGTGCAGCCTTCTGAAGGTTGGGAGGGTGAGCGGATGCTCCCACAGCCTCACACAGAAACCTGCCTGGGAGGGGCCCAGCCACAGCGTCAGCATGGCCTTCTGCAATGGGACCTGGCAGAGAGCAGTCGTGCTCACAAGTGGGGCAGCAATGGTAGCACTTAAGTCCCAGGCTGGTTCTGCGGCCCAGGGGCATTGCAGACCTCCTGCCAGGAACACGCAGGCCTCAGAATCACAGCCTGCACCCGCCCCAGAGCCAAGTGGAAACAGGGAGCATTCTAGAACAGGCCTCAGAATCACAGCCCCATAGCCAAGTGCAAGCGTGGAACATTCTAGAACAGGCCTCAAGACCATGGCCTGCAGCTGCTCCATAGCCAAGTGCGAGCAGGGAACATTCTAGAACAGGATTAAGACCATGGTCTGCAGCTGCTCCATAGCCAAGTGCGAGCAGGGAACATTCTAGAACAGGCCTCAAGACCATGGCCTGCAGCTGCTCCATAGTCAAGTGCGAGCAG